AGAAGGAGGGATAATTCCACTTCTATTTTCAGGGAGCGTGGCACTCCCTTCTCCTCCCTGTGATTGTCATGAGGCTGGCCTGCAACTCTGCTGCACTATTGCTCTCTTTTCCTGCAACAGTGTGCGGCTGTGTGTGAATCAGTGTCTCTTTGAAGAGCGAGAACAATAAATGCGTCAGCACTGATGAGATGTGCTCTGCTTACTGCGTAACCTGAGTCTCGTCTTGATGAATGACAAGTTAATATGTTCAAACACATGCAAAAATTCTGTTTCTAAGACCTCAGTGCCTAAAGCGAGGATGCACAGGAACACAAACGTGACCAGCAGTCATCCTAATTCATTAAAGGGTAACTTTGGTGTTTTTCAACCTGGACCCTATTTTCCCATGTCTTTGTGTCTAAGTGACTAATGAGAACAACAGTTTTTGAAACTGTTCCAGTATTGAGCGAGAGGGTTGTAGCTGGCAGCAGCAAAACAAGCTGCAATTTAAACACTTGGGGCAATCATGCACTGTAAACGTACATTCACTGAACGTGCTTGTTTTTGTCACTGACCGGCTCAGATTGTTATTGTAAGTGTCTGATAACACTGTACAAGGATCCCTACAGAGATATGGCGATATTGTATCGATACACGCTTGCCAAGTTTGGATCATTTATTATATACATTGTTAATTTTTGCAAATACGCATTTTAATACAACTGCTGGTACTAGAATAAAAAAAAATCTATTGCTTTTTCGGTCCACTAGATGGTGCTGAGATTTTCTTTCCTACTGAGGTCAGCAGAGGTCTCAGTCTGCAACATTTGGCAGGAAGTTCATCTGAACAAACATGGAGGCACCGGAGAAAGAAATGCACGGTTGACATTTAAATCAAACAAGCAATGGCATGTGATAATAAAATACCCTGGAAATACTACGGGCATGAGGACTCACCGTGCGCTCCACCATCCAGAGATAGCATTAGCCGCTAACAGCCAAGCTAACACTAAACCCACTCCGGCGAAAAATCAATCTGCAGCCAACCCCTGATAAATAATAATAATAATAATAATAAATCAATTTTATATAGCGCCTTTCAAGAAACCCAAGGTCGCTTCACAATTGCAAACAACCACAAAATCACACAGACAACCACAAAATGACATGACATGAACAAACAGAAAACACAACTAGCTGGTGAAAGCCAGCAGGAAAAGGTGCCTCTTTAGCTGAGATTTAAGAGTCCAGAGTTACATTGCAGTCCAAAGCGATCTTTCTGAATACTGCACTAATTTCAAAAATTATATTTCTCATTAGTTACTTTGACACAAAAACACGGGAAAATAGGGGCCAGGTTGAAAAACACAAACGTTACCCTTTACGGCTATTCAGCCCAAGGTAAGTGGTCTGCAAACCCATTTTGAGTTTTACTTATCGTTGCCATAGCTCCAGCACCAATTGATTACAGAGACAAATTCAGACACAGTCTTTCTCTGCTGCAAATAAACCTGTGACACTCACCTATTTATCTCATCATCCTGTTTGCTATTTTTGTCAAATGTCATACTTTCTGAAACGTACTTGCGCTCAAATAAATCTATGTGCATGTTGTGGAGGGGGGTGTGGATTGTTCATCTATGTCTCTACCTCACTTTATTACCACTTACTTCAATTTCTAATTGTCTAGTTATGTAACTTTAAACAGTCCAACTGTTGCGCTACTGAGCTCTGGTCTTACATGCCCTCTGCTGTGTTCTCTCATGCCTGTTTTAGCTGGGACATCCCCTGGACATGGACCCTGCTGACTGGAATGACAGATTAGCAGCTCTGCAGACAGAGCAGAGCGGGAATGATGAATGAGACATTTGACGCAGCACTGACTTTTGACATGGAGTGTATTTATGCTCATGTGTGACTTTACGATTGTCTTGTCATTTCAAGCGTGTGCACCTCAGTACGTCTTTGTCTGTCTGTGTGTATGTATATGTTGTAGATGTGTGTGCATTCCTGTGAGCCTTAAAGAGATGTGTATCAGTGTGGTGACCACAGTATCTGGTGACTTTGTCTGACTGACACCTGACACCTGACTACGGCAACTTGCAGGGGCCAAAATGAGCCGGTGGAAGGGCAGACAAGGGTATTCTGTGCCTTAGCTTCAACCAAGCATGACAAGTCACTTCTCTAAAACATGTGAAAGCAAACAGAGCAACAGTTGTGATGTATAAACTTTTATATAGTTTAATTATGTACCACTAGTGTCATGGCTGTAGTTTCCAATTTCCTCAGTTTAAAGTTTATTAATTTGATGTGGAATGAAAGGCAAACCCATAAAACAAAGTTGCACGCACTCATGCAACTTCTGTGAGAAGACAGTCAAACCGAAATAGATCCAGTGGGAAAACTAATAATTTCTGCCAGCTTTTTCCTTGGCTGCAGCGGAGAGTGTGTCTTTGTAGTGGGTCCAAGTCACTCAGTCAGTGCTGTCACTGTGCTTCTCTCCAGGGCGGAGAGAATAAGCAGCAGCAGACAGGACAGTTTCCATCAGCTGGTGTCACACCTCAGCCCTGACTTTTTCACTCGTACAACCACAAAGCTCCATACTGCACCACGAAACACTCCAGTCAGCTGAGTTTACGTAAGCTGTGTCGTTTAAACTTTGAAACGTATGTCAACCCAACTCTGGCCAACTGGCAGGAAGCAAAATGAGCAATCCACAAGTAATGAATGGAGCTCATTCAGCTGCACATTTATTCTCATTATATCAACCATTACAACTAAAAAAAAGATGATCTTTTCACTTTTCCTTCATTAATGACATATCACTGTCCACAGTGAACTCTAAGCAAGACACACAAAGCTCTGACATTTCATATCCAGCTGCAGTGGATCAGCCTTTTCATTTCATAAACCACACCTGCATCAATAACCCCCTCAAATACATTCACCAGCACTTAAACCCTGACATAGTAATACATATAATGTAAAGCCATGCCCTACACCATACCTGCAGCAGACAGGGCCAGCAGAGACAGCAAACAGCACACAGACAGCAGAGACTTCATTTTGGCTGCCAGGGGCCTTCCCTTCGTCTCGCCACGGTTATATATACCGCTCTGGCTGAAGGTCAGAGGGCATGCCAGTGGAGGTGGCGCTCAGAAACTGCACCCATATCGGCCATTGTGTGTCAGTGCAGCTGCCTGGCCCCATCAGGAATGTTGAGAGCAGAGAGAGGCCGGAAGACGGTGGCTGACCGTGCTGTAGGCTTGTAGTTTTATCACCAATTAGCTCATGGTGGTGAAAAATGTTTTTTTAATGCACAGGTCAATATTGAGATTTGGGGCTATTTTGCCTCCATAACATTTGTCTTTTTTTCAGACTAGTGGAATGATAACACCAGAAATACTCATGTAGGTGTTTGTTTTAGTTCAGATTTCCATTCTGGAATTTTATGAGAAAAGTGAATATTTAATTAGATAATGACTCACTTGCATATTGTAACACAAAATTTCAGAAAACTCGTTAAACAAAAATTAATGTCAGTAATTAACTGGTGAAGTTAAATATCGCCTATTCACCTGTTGTGTCTAAATGTATGGGATTTTGCAATATATATTTTGAGGCCATTTTCTGAAAGTAGTATTTTCTCATTGTCTGAGCCCAAAATCTCCACTTAAAGCACTTAAATGTGAAGATTTTTTTAAAAACTTTTTTTCAATTTGTAATTTCTTTTCTAAAAAAAATTCACCCTTTTTTGTACACAAAACATTTTTTTTCCCGCCCTGTTTACCTGTTGAGTTTACTTTAGTTCAGATTTCCATTCTGGAATTATATGCAAAAACTGAATATTTAATTAGATAATGACCGATTTGCATATTTAAATAACATTTAATGCTTTAATGTATGGGATTTTGCAATATATATATCTTTAGAGGACATTTTCTAAAAATATTTTTTTCACTGTCTAAGCACTTATAAGTGAATATTTTTTCACTTAAATTTTTTTTCCTGCCTTTTAAAAAAAATTCACCCTTTCTTGCCCCCACTTTTTTTTTTTTGACTTTTTTTTTATTTATTTTTACCGTGTTCATCGGTTGTGCCTTAATGTGTGAGATTTTGCTATGTATATAGAGGCCAATTTCTCAATGTCTGAGCCAAAAATCTCCACTTATAGTACATATAAATGGAGATTTTTCACTTTTGAAATTTTTTCTCACCCTTTTCTGCACTTGAAAAAAAATTCACCCTGTTTACCTATTGTGCTTTAATGTAAGGAATTTTTCAATATATATCTTTAGAGGCCATTTTCTGAAAATACTCAGAGGGTTTGTTCATATATCACTCATTACTTAATATNGGAAACACTTTAAAAATTAGGTTTTTAAATGGCTGTTATTTTTGATATATAGAGTAATAAAAAGAGATATCCAAGACCCCCCTCATTAAAAACCTTTGACTCTAACATGTCTACAAAATGAAACACGAATTTTGAACCTGGCTTCGTTCAATATTCAGATTTTTTTGTTCTGGAAATGTATACAAACCAGTGCTTATTTAATTAGATAATGCCTCATTTGCATTTTTAAATATAACATTTCAGAACTTATAATACAAAACAAATTGTCCTAATGCAAGTTATTAACTGGGGAATTTTCATGGTGATATCTATGTTAATTTTTTTCCACTTTTCACCTGGCGTGTCTCCCCTTAAATGTAGCTTTTAACATCTTAAAATTGTCCAGTAGGGTATATTTAGCTTTTCACACCAGTGTTCAATGACCAAAAGGTAATTCTTTAAAACATGCACATTTCTAACAGCTGAGGGTCTCTGGTAGCTGTGTTTATGATAAAAGGCATTAAAATGAAGCCTGTGTGCCACCTGTGTTTATCAGACATATGAACTCAAAGCTGCAGAGCAACTTCTCTCTGCTGCCACCAGATAAGTCTCTCCATGTCGCCTCCTTGTGGACAAAAAGCTCCATATCATGCACAACTGAAGTGAAGCAGAGGAAGCAGAGGGGTGTAATAAAAAAAAGTACAAATTTTATTTTTTTTTCATCTTTACAAAGGCCTGTTTACCCAAGTTTTTATAAACAAAATATAACAGCTTCTCATCGACCTGGACTGATGGGAAAAATAACCAAAAAAAAAAAAAAATCACAAAAATATAAAAAATGCTTGTCACCAAAAATGGAAAACCGGACAAGAAAAATAAAACAGAAAAGACTGAAAAGCAGAACACAATAAACAGCTGTTGAGTTCACAGCAAAGTGTTTACAAAAGGAAATATAAATGGCAAAAAAAAAAAAAAAATCTTCCTCATCATTGATTCAGGCAGTACAGAACAGCAAGTGCTTCATATCAAACATCTCAAACTCCACCAAAAGACAGCAGTGCTGCAACATAATGTACAGAAACATTTGGGGTAAAGCGTTTCGCTGACCAATCACAAACCTCAGTCTAAACTTAGCCTGTGGCTCACCATTCGTCGGCGAAACACCAAACCCTTGAACCAAGTTTCACAAACAAAATATGAGAATTTCCCACCATGTTCGGCATGAGAAACACTAATCTAACCAGATATAAAACTGATGTCAGCGAGTGTCCAGATAGTGTCTACACATCTCACACAAGACATTTCACACTGAACGCATCACTCACATGTTCATGAAAAAGGAAAACCTGTGAAAAAAGAGTCAAAAACAAAAGCCCGCTTTAGACAAGAGAAAACAGCAATTAGTAACATGCATTCAATTGGCAACAGAACATATAAGAGATCAAAAGACAGATACAAATCCAAATAAAAGGAATGTTTACAGCATCAAGTCAGCGTATCAAATCGAGTATGACAGGAGGGAGGCTCCGAGCAGGGATTTCCAGTCAAGTTCCCGAGAAATATAAGCAACGTAACATGAGGTGGACAGACGTGGTGCGTTTTAGAGAGAAATGGGGGTTTGGGGAGAGATCTGCAATTCAGTTCAGTGCTTGTCATTAGAGTTCTGCACTTCATCAGCACGTGATTAGTTTTCCAACTAAAGCCGCTGAGATCTCTTCCTTAGATTTCTTTTCCCAAACGATGCTTTTTGAGTTCAGACAGATGCCTGTATTTAATGTTTTTTTTTAAATTGATGTGTGTAAATATCACAATGAGATAGCACAAAATCTCCTCCCTGCTCCCTAAGCAATTCCAAGATGTGGAAATGATGCGTATCATTTTGAGTGAAAAAAAATTCAGACACGTAATTAAACGTGATCAAGAGTGAAGTTACACGAAGGGGTTTTGGGGCCTCGGCTCGCTGCTGGTCAGCACAGCACCAGGTTGACAAAGAGCACCTTGCAAGTAGAGACTACATTCTTTTGACACAAGCATGTTAAGTTTCATACATATACTGTAGGTGTAATGTACACACCTATCAACGGTGCATAGATAACTTCACCTCATGTATAAACGACACCGACAGATGGACTGAAGATGGAATTGCATAAATACCGAAAAACTAGTGCATAGTCACTGAAATCAACAAACCAAGACCAGAAGATAGACTGGAAGTCTTTGGAGGAAAACCGGAAGCCTTCACGCAAACGTGTGAATCGCGTCAATATGTTTCAGATTTTCACGTCAGCCAAAATTTCCACATTTTCAGATGCAAGTTTGATTCAGTCAAATTGTCTTGAGATTGATTGAAAATTAACAGCCACTAAAACGCTGCTCGTGTTCCCACAATGAAGCAAGTTTTGGTTCTTTAAAGTCTTTTTTAAAGTCAAGATTTAAAAGGTATACTATACAGGATTTTCCTAAAAAACAAAGTATAGACTCGTACAGAGGTGATCCCTCTAAATCATCAGTGATCATGAGAAGTGTGTGGCGGTGTATTTTTTGTGTAGAGTCCTTGCATGCTGCCTGTATTTTCTTATTTTCTCTTTGCTCGGGACGTATATGACCCCACAGCACTCAGGTGACGGGCAGCAACCAGGTGCCCAATCGTAAGCAGGCATCCAAGAGATACAGCACCAAAAACCCAAAAATATAGCGAGGTCGCACGCCAAACAAGAGTAAATCTGTGGTTGGCTTTTGCGTCACTTTCGCTGGTGAGCGCATCACAACCAGTAACCAATACTCCTGCATAGTGTACCTTTAAATCAGACCTTCAGATTTCATCTCAAGGCCTCCGGTTCTCTGTGAAAACCTGACAAACCTCCAATTTTAAGTTGTTAATCTCAATATAACAAAATGTTCACCTTCGACATTCAGTAACCCTGACGGAAAAGAAAAAACACAAACATGAAAAAACATTAAAACCAAAAGACGATCAATGTAAATTGTTCAACAGCTTATTTTTTTAAGGGCTTATTTAGATATCAAAAGCACATCCTTGTTTTTCAAGTAAATCAGACACAATTTCATTCAACATCTATCCTCAAATTAATTTTGCAATCAAGTTTGAATTTGTCCCTAAATCTCTTAATTTAAAAATGCCTTCTGTTGTAGTTTAAGTCGGGTTCTGTGGCCGCTGGTGCTGAAATATCACCTCGCCAACCGGGAAACAAAGAAAAACAAACTCATTAAGACTGGGGAAGAAGAACTGCAGCTTTTTTTCAGAATCTATAGCTGCTCTCTTATTGTGTTGTTACATTCAACTCTTCACTGCACTGGCTCCACCAATTTGTAGCACGAATAATACTGTCAGCGTGCCAGTGACGACAGTTAGCTGTGATACTGCGACTGTATGTAGCACACATAAACACACATGAAGGACGGACTGATAGCTTGTTTTTTTTTTGTTTTGTTTTGTTTTTTTTACACGAGGAGACCCTCAAGTTTTCAAGTAGCCACAGACCGGCTCTGACATTGAAAAACAGCCTCTAGAAATCAGACGGGGGGGGGGCCCTCCTCTGCACGCTGACCATCCTATGTTTTCAATCTTCACAGATTTTACAGTACAAGACTGACACAGAGCTTAACCACTGGATTTAGGAGTTTGGATAATGCCAAAGACAGATTTTTTTTAAAAAGTAGTCAAGCTCCTGGAGGGAATCTTACAGTGAGTAGGTGTTTTTAAGTGTTTGTGTGTGTGCGTGAGTTCATGGGGTGGATCAGTTCATTGAGCAGTCCTCGCCCTCTGTGTCGGTGTCCGTGTCTGAGCAGGCAGTGTCCATGGCGACGTGGGCGGGGCTGACGATGACGGCTCGTCTCTGCTCCTCCTCGGCGCTCGCTCTCCTCTCCTGAGCACGCTCGATGTGCTGGATGGCCTGAGAGCAGAGAGTGAAATGAACAATGAAGGCCGCTGCAAATATTAATTTTACAAACAAATATTTTTACTACGAAATTACTTTGAGCTGGCTCAATAAACAAACTCTTACCTGCACAATGGTGTCCAGGTTCTGTCTGGATGTGGACACAGTGCTGGTGTGGACAGACGGGCTCATGGTCACCACGGTGACGTGATGAGGGTGCTGGGTTAGTGTTGGGGCCGGAACGATGACCGTGGGGTGGTGGGTTGGGGCAGGGGGAGTGGGAGGAGCCAGCACCTGAAGGGAAGACAGAATACAAACTAAATATTAATACATCTGAGACTGTGTGTTTTCACTGTTACTGCTGAGCCCTGCATGAGTTTTAGGCGGAATCACCGTGATGCTGCGCTAACAACGATGACTGGCACTTGATTTAGATTGCGGAGATACATAAATTGGCAAACCTGTCATTTTAAGCCGTAACTATAACATTTTTTTTTAGTTTAACACAGACCTTCGACCAGTCTGATGTTTCTGATTGTCTTAACGTCTGGAAGTTGCAACACGGATGTCTACTATGTTTTCATCACATGTGTTTCTAACCTGTGGACTGTGTGGTTGTCTGTCAGCGGCGTGGATCTGCTGCAGCCGTAACAGCGTCTGGCTCTGGATGAGCGCCTGCTCCTCCTCCACCTGCTGAGTGATAACCTTCAGACGCTCTGGCTGCAGCTGGCTGTCCAGAGATCGCACCTGCACACAAACACACAGCGTACACAGGTTAATTACATAAAGAACAATTTCAGCATCAATATAAGGACAGCTAAAAACATATCCTAGGGCTCTAAATTGTAGCAAAAATATTTTGTCAACATCATAGTAATTATTTCTAGAGTAATGGCAGCAATGAACGCTAATATGTATAATACACATTAAACTGATATATTTGAAGATAAGCTGATAAATAATATTAATGCGTGGCAACAAAAGTAGTTTAGAAAAGGCTTTATTTGTTTCAAATATCCTTCTGAGAGAAATTTTATACAGTATTTGCTTTTCTATTGTGCAGTATTGTGTTCTATTACATGTCATTAAACAGAAGCACAGCTCAATTCGGACCCTGTGGAAATATCTCAACTTGCTCAGCTGCATCTCCTCTACTGTTTACTTTTCTCTTTAACTACCTGTTTACAGCTTCTGTTTGTATTCGCCACCTGCTCAGTCCCCTTTGTCTCAACCTGCTGTTCAGGTAGATCCAGGATGTGAGCCTATCAGGAACTGGCTGGTGCACTGGTAGATCTGTCAACACCACCAGCCACCACCTTGTTAAGGTGACTGATAATCATGCAAAGGATCCAGACACTGATTACAAGTTGAAACGGCTGGTAAAAAAGAATAATTGGTTTGGGTGTTTTGTGGTTAATGTTCGCTGTGACAAGACAATCTCACAGCCTGTAGATGTGGATAGTTTCTCTTATCAACTTTGTCTTTGTAAATGAACTCCCTGTGAAGTCTTTTTTTTTTTTTTTTTAATTTTGAGTTAAATGTATTGCTCTGAAGCTTTGCCCATTTTCAACCAGCTCTGTGTCGTTGCAATTTGAGCAATGCATTTTTAATAAACAATGGTCACCTGTCCTCCATACTGCAAGTGCCTGGAGCTCCCTGCTCATCTGCTGGATAAGGCAAAATGTGCCACATAAACCAATGAGCAGGGAGCTCAGGGCACTGGCAACACGCAGTGAAGCCGAACATCAACACAGAGCAAGTGGAAAATCTGCAATTCTTCCCTTGTATGGTGGCAATATTGGTCAGTTTTTTAAACTATCCCACCTTCATGCTTTCATGCCGTCTGTGTGGCATTTAATTTTCACTGTCACTGTCAACTAATGGTTAAACATCACAAGCGTAGATCAGATTGAGAAGTAAAATGTCTGAGAATCAGTTACTGTTATTGTTAAATGTAATAACTCCTGCACTTGTGAAATAAAAGTTCACTTCTGAAAGACATTAAACTGAATAAAGTACTGATTAAAGAATGCGTGTCATGTAACAGAAGCTCCTCCCTTTGATCTCACCTGTTCCTCGAGCTGCATGCGCGCCGAGCGTTCCTTGTCCAGTTGCTGCCGCAGCTCTAACATCTCCCTCCTGACCTCCTCCACTTTCTCCTCCTCCAGCGTGTCGGGGGACCCGATCCCCTCATCCTTCTCTTCTGCTCGCCTCCTTTTGGGTGATGAGCCGCTGAACTCCTGGAGTGACATGGAAACCACATGAGGTTATATTAAATATGACACATTTAAACTTAGTATGTAAATAAAGGTGCTCCAAAACCCGACCAACATAGTGTCAGTGTGCACAGAATCTGAGGAGTTTCCACTCTATTTAAAAAAAACAACACATGCTGCTTGTGCCGAGTTGAACAAATGGTCATTACATTCAAGTCTTCTATTAAGGTTTTCCAATAAAGCTTTGAGAATAGAAGTTAAAAATAAAAACATACAGTGAATTCTGGAAATTATTACATCTCTTTTTTCAATAAAGTTTGACCACTAGACTTTACAACGCTCTGGACATATTGGAAATGTTTGGCTCCCATGAGTCAGAAACAATTCTTAAAGCCAACAATGACGTTGGTGTAACCTAATCTTTATCTGTGACTGTGCAGAAGTACCAGGTTGAAACTGAATAAACACACATGCCAAAAAAAAAGCTCCCCAGCATTGAAATGTTGATTTAGAATTTGACAGTATGTATGGAACGACCCTACCTGTTTTATTCATGTGCTCCAGGTAGCCCTTAAGAACTCAAATTCAACAGGAAGCCTGGCTGCAGCATCTCACACACTACCTGATGCCATTTGATCATCGGCTGACAGAGATGCAACATCACCTCTCCCACCCGCAGCACATCTAAACCGTACTCTACATAACATGCCACACACTGGCATGACCTATTAAAGCACAGCCTATAGAAGACAGTTTTTTGTCCTGAAGAAAGTCTGTAGCTCCGTGCATCTCTAAGGGCCCTGTCACACCAAGCTGATGATCTACCTATAGTCAGTGTTGGGCTGTCAGTGTGCTTCTGTCACACTCGTGAGTGTCTTGTGTCCCGCACTGTTGCCCCTCGTCTGTCCCTGTCGACTTTTTACTTTTGGCCGATTCAGAATGTTTAATTAGCTAGTTGAAGCTTGTCTGTAAATGAAATCACTCTGATTGGTAGTTCAGTTTAGTGCACAAGAAGAGAAACGGAAGTGAGGAAAGTAAACAGCTAAAGTCAAGAGGGAGTGAGATCAAAACAAACTTGTTACATAAGGCAAGGTTATTTTTCTTTAGCCATTTAGCTCTTTAGTGGAAATGTTTTGTGATGGTTTGTGTTATTGTTCACTGGTGCGCAGTAAATATGCTCTGTTCTTTCAACATTGTGCTGTTAATGTGCTAACTGGCTAACTAGTGTAAAGACAGTCTTCCAGCTTCCCTTTTTAAATGATGAATACAGACTACTGCCGCCTGCTGCTATGGAGAGTTAACTCCTTTCATGCAGGTGCAGAACGTACATGCTGGTTGGCCGACGGCTGAAGTCTTGTGGTGCGTTCATGTGCATCTTTTTGGCAGAGACACAGACAATGTGAGGCGATGCTACAGTCTGCTTTCGTTGCCACTAGTTCTCTCAAGTTGTATGGTATGTCTGGGCCATAAAAATTGATACAATTATGATGAAAAACAATGGCACAGGATGTTACCTGGATAAAGCGTTTGAGCTGGTTGTTCTGTGCCAAGAGCTGCGTCTTCTCCTGCTCCAAGGCAAAGATATAGTCTGCTGTCTGCTGCAAGATGGCCGCCTGGTAGGGACGAACCAAAAAGGTAAATACTAGAACAGTGCACGGACAGAAACTTCCAAAACTGTTGCGAACTGAGATGTAAAAAGTTTTATTCTCTACTGCATAACTCATCAATTGGTGCCAGCTGCTTATGCTTCACCACACAGTGTACATCTACGCTGTCAGAAAGTGTCTGTGTTTGCATGTTTTTTGCACCTTGCTGAGCTTCTCTCCATCTGTGTGGGGCAGGAGTGTTTTGAGGGACTGGAAGCCGGCGTTGATGCTCTGCATGCGCCGGCGCTCGTTGCTGTTGGCAATCTCACGGCGGATTCGTCTCTCCTGGTCCTGGGCTGTCTCCGGACTGAGGGGGATGTTGGCTAGGCTGAGAGAGCGGGGTCAAAGGAAAGAGACGGTCATTATTCAGTCCATAAAGGCTTTGTGTGCAATGATAAGGCCGAAGCTCCTCTAGGACACACATCTGATCCATCTTCTCTTTGAAGTTGTAGATATAACTATAGAAATTTCTACTTGACAAGTAGCGCTATGCTGTTAAAATCACGGGCAATGCAGCTTAAAGAAAAATAATGTTGTGATAAAAATAATTAATTTGCACAGTAAGCTAACAACACACATACCTCTGACATAAATCTGCGCTTCCTGGTCAAATAAATAAACCACAGCAGTACAATTAGCATTGAGCTGATCTCTGACTCTGATGCCTTGAACCTTTAACCTGGAGCCTTAACCAGGCTTTAGTCTCGACCTCACTACATTCCTCAATTTAGCTGCCTGAGGATCTTTGAGTTTAGCTGAACTCAGTGCCCCCTCATAGGGTTGAATGTTGGTGGTAAAACGCACTCTGTCATATTTACTCAGGGGGAAAAAATTTGTGAACCATTAAGCCTGGAGATGACCATGGTGCCAAGAAAACAAAAAACCTGAAGGGGATGGCTGGGATGTTTACAAAAATGAAAGAGGTCAGACAGAGGACACAGCTGCACATGGCTAGAAATAGTTATTTTCTACAAAATGTGGGTGTGCAGCCATACTTGTTCAGAGCTAAAATTAGTGATTTGATTTCAAACGATGTTTACAAGCCAGCACCCCCATCTTAACTAAAAAGCAGCAGAAACATTTCTTAAAGAGCATAAAACACCTTCATTATCTCATGATGCACACTCCCTTTAAATAAACTCTGAGTCCCTAAACAACTTAATTTTGTGACTCAGTTTTATCTTATTTTGAAACATTTGGGAGAAATTCTCTCAAATATATTGTAATCTACTTGTTAAACCCCTTATAATGAGGAGCAGAAGTAACATTAGGGCTTAATGTTGTCCATTGGGATTCAAGTGTCCATAACTCAAAAGTTATTTGGTGCAGATGTGCATACTTGACATGAGATGTTCAAGGGGTCTTGGGGGATTTTTGTTCATTGGTCCTGTATATGTACAAACCATGTGTGTGAGGTGTGGTGAGACGGTTAACTGCAGAATAAAAGAAGTCACTGTAAAACCAACTTCCGTCCATCATCATCAAGTAAGAAAATGATGTGCTTGTTACATCTATTTTTTCTTTCTTTTTTATTATTTGGCCTGAGTGTCCAAGGCTTCCACCCTGAAAATTTTATGAATAATCCTGGATCTAAATTGCCTGTATTTATATATATATTTAAAAAAAGGATAGGTATAATAATATTTAATAAAAACCCCAGGTCTGATAATGTGCCCTTTAATCAAACATTCAAACCCTCAAAATGTTATAATATTGTTGAACAAAAACGCAAGCAGCATGTTGGTGAAAATTCTCCGTCATCCGGTTCATGATAATCTTAAGCGCTGTATTGTAGGCAATTGATGAGAGGCGAAACATCTTCCAAGAAACTCAGGCAAGTCCAGCTGCCTACAATAAAGCACTTAAGATAACCATGACCTGGATGACCTGAAATCATCACCAACATGTTGCCTAACAATATGGGAGAAATGCCCTTCAACTGGTACGGGAATTTGAAAGATCAGAATTGAGGAAGCTGGTGAAACATGTTCAAGAAATTTAAGCAAGTCCAATTACCTACAAAATAGCACTTAATATTCAAGAAGCACCTTATGTATAACTGCATGCAAGACAGAGAGTGCACGTAATTACTTTAATGTTGCAGCTGGTAAGGGTGGAGCCCATTTTTTAAATGCTTTATACACTGCTGGGTAGTTTAATCATTGATTAGACGTCATCATATGGTAGTTGACTATATTTTGTGTTAATAATCATAGTTTGCAAAGTAACTAATGTATAAAAATAAATGTTGTGGCGTAAAAAAATAATATTTCCCTCTAAGATGTAGAGGAGTTGAAGTATAAAGTAGAATTAAAATGAAAATACTGTAGTACTGTTTCTACTCAGTATTAAACTACTCCTAACTGCTATTAGTTTTAACATCACAAGTCATAATTAAGATGGAAAATACAATAAAAAGGTTTTATGGGTAAATAAGATACCAGATTGCATTTAAAAAGCATCAAAATAGAGCTTTTTCATAAAATAAAACCCCCAGATGACACCCCCCCCCCCCCCCCCCCCCCGGGTCCAGCACCAGGAGCCCTCTTGCTGTGAGGTGACAATGCTAACCACTGCACCACTNCCCCCCCCCCCCCCCCCCATACAGGGGTCCAGGCTGAGGTCCTCAAATCCCAGAAACGCCCCTGATAATCAAGTATAAATATTTACAACTACATACAGTATGTTGACACAAATCTTTCTGATCTTTGACCAGAAAACAGCTCAGAAAAACAGCCACATCTATCGCAGCCAGCTGAAACGTGTCGGGGTTTTTAAAGTTTAGAGATGAGATCAGCTGTTGTCAGCTGTCGTTGCCAGGAGCTGCGGACTCCAACATGGCCGCCGGAGGGCGCGTCATGCAGTCTGGACCGTAGCAGCAGTGAAATGTGACTCCGCCAGCAACAGCAGGCCCCCGGCGTCACGGAGAACAATGCTTTCAACAGTTAGCACCAAGCTAACTCATACTCACTGGTCTGCTGTTGAAGTATACAGATGTTTGGCAGTTATAACACTATTAAAACGACATGTTTTGGTTTAACAACCTAGTACACACAAGTAACAACGAGTCACACACACACAACACGGTCTGAAAACGAGTGCGTTGTGACAGCTAACTAGTTAGCCAAGCTAAGCTAATTTTAGCACGCGACACAACCATGGCTGCTACGCGGAGCTTTATTTAACTACGCACGTAGCGCAGCCGAACCACGTTTCACGTGTCCGCATTTAAGACACCTACAATTTCATTATTTAAACACACGTAATTCGGTGTAAATAGTAAGGGGCGTAAGAAGGTATGTCGTTACAAACATGTGATTTGGTGTACAGCAGTGAGGCGGCGGGGAACACGTTAACTACCACGTGGTTGATGTTCAACTGGAAGCAAATGTATCGATTTCATGTCGCTGATTTACATATTTCTGAGCTGAATGACTGCAAACATACCCTTTATGTTATTACATGTGATTAGGCCAACTAATGTAACAACATATATTAAATATATCCTCTATATTCACACCGCCACTGGCAGCAGCTGGCCAACAAGCTGCTAATTTTTACAACCATGCTGCTGCTGCCAAGATATCGCAGCGAAGCTAACACCTAGCATGCTAACCCGAGTCAGACTGCATCACACACACATACACACCACAGCGACACGAGGGATGATTTGTGCAGGTAGTTTCGCTATCAACTAAAGAAAATAGCTCGATACACACCTACAGAGACCCCCAATAACATCCTTCTCCGTCTTCTTGAAATGCTGTAAGGACGGTATCTTCTCTGTCGGCATCATGAAATATTCCATGCTTTCAAAGCCACCTTCTGTAGTCCGTGTTTTCTGTGTTTTTTTCTTCCTCCACTGCTGTCCTTGTTAAAATGTAATGATGAACGTTGTTAGCTCAGAGCTCTCGCCGTAACGTTACTCCTCAATGGCGCATATCTAAAATACCGCTTCAAAATCAGGCAATCTCAAGAATAGAAAAATAAAAGTAAGTTGGAGCTGTGTTGCTTCCCACAGCTGATGGGGTTCCCTCCAATGTGTGTGTGTGTGTGTGTGTGGCTTCTTGCCTCCGCCTACTACGTGTCTGTGTGTGTGTGTGTCTACTGCCTCCGCCTACTTGTGTGTGTGTGTGTGTGTGTGTGTGTGTGTGTGTGTGCAGCTGACTGTGTGAGGCGGGAAACAGCTGGTTGGAATCAGAGCCCGTTTTCCGGAAAGCAGAACAAACAGAGCAGCCAGAGTCACTGTGTAACTGCACTGCAGCAAAGCAAAGCCTCATACTGAAAGTGTAAGCGAGCTCCTCGTGTCCTCACCTTTGCTTTTTAAACGGCAATTTCTTAAAATTGTAAATCATTAATAATTAATTTTACCTTTGATATCTTTTTTCCCTCTTTATTCTTTTATTGTAAATCTGAGTCTTTATTATACTTTAATGCTCTGTAAAGCACTTTGAATTTCCCTGGTGCATGAAATGTGCTATGCAAATAAAGCTGTCTGCCTGAGCAGTGAACACAAATACTAATAATGATTGTGTAATGGCACAAGTATCAAGAGGTATCAAGACCCAAATATACATGGAAAATAAATGACTGCATGAATAAGTGATCATGATAACAAAATAAATCAAATTGCTCCCTAAAAGAATAAATAAGGACATTACAATGTACTAAATTTATAAATTATGTTATATTTTCCCATATTTATCGATTTATCTACATATTTATTCCTGTAATTTACTAGTTTATTTTTATATGATCCATTTATATATCACCACAATTATTTATTTATCCATTCATCCATCCATTTTCATCCGCTTATCCGGGGCCGGGTCGTGTGGGCAGCAGGCCGAGCAAAGCACCCTAGATGTCCCTCTCCCCAGCAACGCTTTCCAGCTCCATCTGGGGGACCCCAAGGCGTTCCCAGGCCAGATGAGATATGTAATCCCTCCAGCGTGTTCTGGGTCTGCCCCGGGGCCTCCTACCAGTTGGATGTGCCCAGAACACCTCCAGTGGGAGGCGCCCAGGAGGCATCCTGATCAGATGCCCGAGCCACATCAACTGACCCCTTTCGACACAAAGGAGCAGCGGCTCTACTCTGAGTTCCCTCCGAATGTCCACGCTCCTCACCCTATCTCCAAGGCTGAGCCCAGCAACTCCATGAAGTTAACTCATTTCAGCTGCTTGTAGCCACTATCACAGTCTTTCGGTCACTACCCAGAGTTCATGATCATAAGTGAGGGTTGGGACGTAGATGGACCAGTAAATCAAAAGCTTCGCCTTCCGGCTCAGCTCGCTCTTCATCACAACGAACCGACTCACCGCCTGCATCACTGCAGAAGCCACACCAAACCACCGATCCATCTCACGCTCCATTCTACCCTCACCTGTGAATAAGACAACGAGATATTTGAACTCCCTCGCTTGAGGCAGTAACTCTCCCCTAATCAGGAGAGGGCAATCCACAGGTTTCCAGCAGAGAATCATGGCCTCAGATTTGGAGGTGCTGACTCTCATCCCAACTGCTTCACACTTCGCTGCAAACTGCCCCAGTGCATGCAGACGATGTGGTTCTGTTGGCTTCATCATACATTTACGTCTCAATTAAAATATTAGCCTCCCGAGACCTGAACTTTTGTTTGGTATGTATTTCTAATTTCTCTTTGGGATCAGTAGGACCCAATAAGTATAAAAAACTAAACATTGTCAGCAATGAGTCCCCATGTCCTCAGAGGAGACAAGAGACTCCCAATGTTTTCAAATGAGTACTTCCTCATTAACAGTGTCTTAGCTTGTTACTGCTGTTAAAATTGGTCATATCTGTTGCCACATCAAACTACAAACATTATTAACCATAACTAAACATGTTTCGACCATAAATATGATCAAGTTTTGGACCTTGTTTACTCTTGTGTCAGAATCAGCTGCAGACTGATTTGGCAGAGATGGCTGCCATCTCTTTTTTACATGGATTAGTGTGTTGTGCTCTTACTACCACTAGGTGGCATAAAAAGTGTCGACGAATGAGGACAACAGATTTATGTTAAGTAGAATTAAGTATAAGGTCAAGTAAGCCCCAAATGTGACATCCTATGTCCTATATGAGGACACAGGGTCTCAGGAGGTTAGAGCATACACTTATCCCTGACTTGCTTTTTTTTGGGGGGGGGACACTTTTGCAAAATGACAGAAGGCAAGGGGCCAGTTATTTAACAGACATTTCTAACATTTATCAGCTTGGGCAGATTATGAGAAAATGGGCCTCCAGGCACAGATATGCAAGGGGCCCAAACACCTGTCCTACACAGAAGCAAGTTACACAGACTTTGTGGTAGGTTGCATCTTTTTGTGGTCTTGTGTCTCTTTGTGGTTGTTTTGAGTCTCCTCCTGGTCAGGACATGTTGATTTGACATTTGACATTTTGCAATTCAAAGCCAGGGGACCCCCCTGACACTTGGGCCCCTGGGTAGGCCCCTGCTGGGCAAGCCCTTTCAGTAATCCATCCATGTTTATCAGTATGTATAATAAATGAATTCCCGGTTTTCAACCTTTCAGCGTTTGCTGTTGCTTGCTATCCTCACTCATCTTTGCTAAGAAGCAAATTTAGTTGCTATAGCCCCTTGTAGCCAGTCACAGCAGCCCCTGCACAGGTCAGGTGTAGGTAAGGGCATTTCTAGGATTTTAGTATGCTTGGGCTCAGCCTGGACCTATGCTGGGAGGTCTGAGGGATCTTCCTGTGAATCAATGTATTTTCATTGTGAATTAGAAAATGGTCAGTGGGCTGCCCAGCACCCTATCATGGGCCAGATTTGGCCCAAATTGAGTATCACTGGTATAGAGCTAGTATTTTCATATGTTATAGACCACATCACGTCAGCTATGACATAATTCAGATATAGTTGTTGGGCACATTTTGCACATTAGTGAGTGTAAAGTGTTGTGGAGCAGAGAGACCACAGGCCTCTCACACACCTGCAGGTGGAGACAGACCTGAGGACAGATATGATAAAAGATACGATACAATATGAAGCTGCTGGTGATCATGAGATCGGAGGATAGTTAGATAAGACTGCTGCTGTGTGTTGATGGGAGGACCTACCACGACAGACATCTGACAAGCTGCTTGCAGACTGAGTTGAGCACTTTAAACCTTTGCTGTGCTCAGATAAAGGGTCAACTTTGTCACAGCAGTGGACTAAATCCAAGGTGGGAGAAGCCTGCACTTGACTAGGTTTTAAAACATTCAAAATAACAAGATCAATGACAGAGTGAATATATTTATTGCTTAGAGGATTGTTGTGTTTTATTCCGGTTGGTCTCTGGGAGGAGAGAGTGTTGAAGAGGCTGCTTTTATTCAGCAGGTGAAAATGTGGTCCAGTGTTAAAGATTGTTGTACTAAATCTGTCTTATATTGTCTTGTATTGAAATTCAAATCACAGGTTCTCGTCCAGTTATTTAAAAGGCCAAGAACCAACCCTGAACACACCACCACAGGTTTGTTTCCACAGTTTATTACTTTATGTACCATAGATCTTGGGGGCTGCAGGGAACACCTTCTCCTCAATATTTAGAACATTTTTCCCCCCACAACAAAAACATGAAAGCAGCAGAGAACTTTTACTTTGACAATATTAAAGACATTTGCACCATAAATTGATGCAGAAAAAGCACAAATTGGTGCATTAAAAAATCACTAGAATGCAGGAAGTTGTTTGTCGATCAAAATTTTCTGGTGGAGAACCCGCATGACATGTGGTCACATGTCACGTTGTCTACATCAAGACAAAGAGGAGGAGCCTCCATCAGTTTCTGCCCTTTGCCTTTGTAGGGGACTACAGCTCTGCAGTATATGTTCAAACAACTTGTACAGAAACTGTATATTCATTTCCAGGACAATGAGGGAAAGCGATAGAACAATACGATGGGATGTATTTGAGGTAACATTTAAGACAAGTGGGCTATAAGGTGCCGTGTAAGGTGCACTGTGTTTGTCCTTGTGAGTTTGTAAGTAAGTCAGTGATGGTGTTAAAGAGCAGCTCAACATTTTTCTTGCAACTTGCACTTACAGAGGCTGTTAATGGAGTTTGTGTTGGTGGTGTGTCAGTGAGGGAAGCTTAACTTACAGTTGAAACTTTATCATAAAATTCAGCTTCACATTATGTAACTGTTACACAACAAAACTGCCCTGAAAGTATAAAATCTCTCAAAAAATGTGTTGTTTCTTAAATAGCGATGATGTGAAGGTGATGAAGAAAACTCCGATGACACCGTCTTGCTTGCATAAAAAAAGGTTTATTACAAGAAATACAGCATCTATCAAGCATCTAGAATGCTTGGAGAGGTTCTCGGCCAATGTGAACTGCTCTGAAAAACAGCCCCAAATACCCTGCTTATATAGACCTGGTGGTGTTTGTGAAATGTGAGACAAAGCACAACAGATGACAGAGAGTCATTCTTGTTGGATTTCTCCAACCCTACACCTACGCTATAAATATCTTTGACCCTGACCATATATGTTTTTGATCCTGGGCCCCTCACTGGTCATCTGTTCAAAAACTTCAGAGCAAATGATAATACACTACAAATGTTTTCCCATTATTTATTTGGAGCACGTGGCAACCTCTGAGGCTGAAAAATGAAGCCAAGTGCCAGAAACTGCAGTTCAATGAATGGCCACTTGAGGCTGGCTCCAAAACAGAGTAAATCCCCAGAGACGCCCATGTTCAAATGCCCATCTTTACAAGATAAATTAACAAGTTTACACCCTGGTACAAAAAACAGTTTTGATCTCAAAATTACGCATATTTAAAGGAGCAATAAGCGAAATTCATCATTTCTAGATTGAAGGAATTAAAAAATTGCTATGTGAAGAACTAGAGGTGTAATTTCATCTAGAGTATAGCATGACCTCACACACCCTCTCTCTGTGTTGATCTCCAGCCCATTGTTTATAAGCTGGTCCGGCTGCACGTTCATGTTCATTTTCGTGTGTTTGTGTGTGTGTGTTAGAGTGCGGCACGGGCCACATATTTCTGTCCGAACCTGAACCGAGC